TGAAATCCAACGAACACTCGGGCGTCCAGGACTGGCCAACAACATTGTTTTCGTTTGTAATATTCCAAACTGTGTTATGATGCCTGTATAGTGCTGCAACCTAGTGAGGAATTAATAAACTAACCGATCAGCAGGTTTGCAACATTATATCGCAAAATTTGTGGTGGCGACAACAAAAATAAACACCTGTTGTTTTGGCAAAAGTGCTGTTATAACAACCGTTGTTTTGGTTCAGTTTTACGATTGAGTTTTTGGTTATTTCCTCGACAGATTTATGTTTATTTGTAGTTTTAATCTAGTTTAAAGTTTTAATGTAAATATAAGTTGATTTAAAGAACATTTGTACATATACTACGTAAACGCGCTACACTTTTATAATAGTTAGGTCTACAATACAACTGTTTTATCTCTTATAAACATTTAGAAGTGCGAATTGGGTTATGTTTGTTATTATTCCAAGCCTATATTTAAGTAAGTAATTATGGACGACCGTTTAAGATCAGATGAATTGAGAGATCTATTGTTTGCCGACGAAGAAGATGCTGACGATCCCGATATTTATTATGGATCAGACCACGAAAGTGACGTTAATTCAACTGATTTAGCTGCAGAGTATGAGGACTTGGTTTTTGAAGAAGTTGATGATGGATATGAAGCTCAAGAAAATTTTGAAGAGGACTATGGAAGTGATGGGAGTTCAAGTAGCCTATGTGGAATTTAATGGACATTTAAGCACGGGAGCAGTACACGGAAGTGGAAATAATGATGGCATGGAAGTTGAGGAGAACAATGGTGAAGGTGCCCAAGGGACAGATAATGAAGAAGGTATGGGTGTGTCGGGACAGTGGAAGGTATGGTCTGAAGGGGATAATAATTTTAATAAGTTTTTGTGGAAACATGATAGTGGTTATAAGCCACCAAATAACCAAACGCCAACAACACCATTGGACTTTTTCCAGCTTTTTTTCACAAATGATTTAATGTTAGAGATAGTGAAAGAAACAAACCGGTATGCTGCAGAAAAGATACAGAAGAATACACCACTCCAGAAGAAATCCATCTAGCTTTCGTGGAAAGACCTTACACTGGAAGAGTTGAAAGCTTTTTTTGGACTCATAATTAACATGGGGATGAATGAGAAACCAGAGATAGGTGACTACTTTTCAAACAATTGGGTTGACTACCAACCATTCTTCAAAGATGTGTTCAGTAAGGAAAGATTTTTACAAATCTTCTGGAATCTTCATGTCTCCCCACCTCCATCTGGCAGCGTAGCTGGGACATTAACTCGATCAGGAAAGGTAAGAAATGTTGCTGCATACCTTGATAAGAAATTTAGAGAGTATTTTATCCCACAGCATTAAGTAAGTGTAGACGAAAGTATGATTGGGTTCAAAGTAGGATTGGTGAGTCGGTGGCTCAGTCGGTAGCGTCGCGGACTTCGGGCCCAAGGCAGTAGTGTCGTGGGTTCGGATCCTGGTCACTGCCACTAACTTTTATCAGTACAGTTCACCTTTGTACTGTACCGGCTCACCCCTTGCTTTGCTGGATACGTTCCACGCACAGATCTGTAGTCTATGTGGACGGGCAAATGCAAGGTTAAAAGAGGCCGCCAACCTCTTTAAAAAAAAAAGGAAGGATCCTATTTAAATCCTACAACAAGGACAAACCCATTAAATGGCGAATCAAGGTTTTCGTCTTGTCAGATTCGACTACGGGCTATATTTGTGCCATTGAACCATATTTTGGTAAAACAACCACAGACCAGACTTGATTAGGCCTGATTTAGGAGCTACACGTCGAGTTGTTTTACACCTAGTGGACAAACTTAAGCAAACACTGGGAGATGTTGAAGGGCTTCACGTCTTCACTGACAGATTTTACTCCAATCTTGATTTGGCAGAGGCACTATTAGCATGGAAAGCCCATACAACCGGCACTATCGTGCTACACAGAAAAGGATTGCCGGAAGAAGTGAGACCAGCTAGGCCTAAAAAGGACAAAGCGAAAAAACAAACAAACAAGAACCTGCCTAAACCTAAGTTGAAATTAAAAACTGGGGAAACAAAAATCTACAGAAAAAATGATGAAGTGTCTCTTCTGTTGTGGAAAGACAAAAACTTGGTGGCTATTTTAAGTACACTGTTCGGTGATAACTCTACCCAAACGGTTAGGCGCTACAAAAAAGGGGGAGTAGGGGAGTTAGTAAAAAAAACCTACTGCAGTTTGTGAATATAATAAACATATGGGTGGTGTGGACATCGCTGACCAGTACATTTCCTCGTACTCATTTATAAGGAAATCCCTGAAATGGTGGAGGAAAATGTCCTTTTGGCTTTTGGAAACAGCAATTGTAAATTCCTTCATTCTATACAATACCAATCAAGAAAGGAAAAATGTAGTTCGCCAAAGACGTTACAGAAAAATGTTGATTAAAGAACTGGTCGGAGAAGTAAGAAATGTCCGAAAACGAGGAAGACCATCATCTTTAGTCGAGGACGAGCGACTTAATGGAAAACTTCATCTGCCCTATCCGCTTGAGGGAGGTAAAACAAAGGACTGTGCGGTGTGTAGCGATAGAAGACCAGGAAAAGAAAGAAAAAGGTCAAAGTTTTTTTGTAAAACTTGTTCTAACAATCCCGGACTTCACATGGGTGAATGTTTCGAAAAATATCATTCAGTGAAAAAAATCCAAGACGATTAAAGAGAACTTTTAACTCATTGTTTGTATGAGTAGCCTATATACGTTCATTTTACACTTTTAGTAAATACGTAATATCAAAGAATTTTCATTTTCAAACAAATGTATGTATATATTCAATATCTCTTCTGTTTTTTTACTTAATAAATCAGTTGTCAGTATAACATTACGATTGTTTTATTACAATTTATATCCCCTATGCTAACATTGCAGGTTTTCAGTAAAAACAATTCCGAGCTGCTGGGAGGGAGCCGCCATGATGAATGCCGAGGGGGCGTGTACTAGGACTTGGCCAGTACAGCTGGCCGCCTGACCGTTGGAACCAAGTCAGTACGGATTGAATTCCGACTGGCTGCAGACTGCGTTGTGGCCACTCCTGCTGGCCTTCCGATCGCAAAGGGTTAATAGCTGTAGATTTTTTATGTTTCAATTTTTTAATGATGCTTTTGTTGAAACTAAACCTCTTTTTTGCAAGAGTAATTCTTAAACTATACAGTATATTAAAATGTATAAGCGTTTTTGTGAAAAACTTTGAACTTATCATCGGACAAAAATTAAATATATGAAATTAATTACCGTAGCTTATGTAGTTAAGTAGGCATATCTCATTAATAAGTTTTAGCTCAATGCTAAATGCTTACTTAATGTATTATATTTTGAAAATTGTTGTGAATCTTTAAGCAAAATTCATGCGTCCTCAAAAAATTTTAATAAGGAGAAAAAAAAACTCTAGAATTTTATCTATTTGCTTTAGAAAAAAGTAAACATAACCTTCGAATACCTGTATGCCTGTAATTTCAATAAACCAAACTAACCAAACTACCAATAACCAAACTACCAGTTAAATTAGTTAAGATTATGAAACTTAATCAAGATTAAGATTATTAGGATTAAGGTATTTAGATTAAGATTGAGGTTAAGATTATGAGTGAATAGACTTGTAGAATTTTTAAACCCAACAGAGCCAGCAGGAATGCCACCACACTTACTGTCATTAAATAAGGAACTCCAATAATACTAATGTGAAACTCAAATCCACCCAAGCTGTGCAAGGAACCAGACTGACAATTTAAAAAATGACACCAAATTTGATCCAAGCAACAACCATCAGTGGTAAGTTCAAAGGAGAAATAGTCTTAATCCCAAGAATACCGATGATCTCGTCCGAATTACCCTTTGAATTCAAGCGACTACAACTTCCTTTGTGTATTGCTTTCGCAATCACCTTGAATAAGGCACAAGGGCAATCCCTGACTATCGCCAGTTTAAATTTATAAAATGCAGGCTTTTCATATGGATAGCTGTACTGTTATACAGGGTATCCATAAAAAACGTTTCAGGACTTTGGGAAATGAATCCCCATACTAAAAGGAAGAAAAAAGTTTATGGGAAGGTATGTCCGAAAATGCATATTAACCCAGATATCCCCCATTTTGTTTTTTATACAAAAATATTTTTATCTGTGAAGTTTTTTATCCGATGATTATGAAATTTGGCAAAAATGTTAACATACACAAGACCTATAATAGAAAAAATTATAAAGTTGTTCCGATTGTAAATTTCAAAATGGCGGCCGTTTGAATTTTTATAACTTACATAACTCAAAAACGGCTAATTCTATGAAAAAATGTCGAGAACACTTTTTTTTAGCATTTTTAATTTCCTATCAAACAATACCAAGATCAAAAAGATCGGACAAAGATAACTGAAATATAACGTTTTTTGTGTAAAAATAAGGCAAAAAATAAAAATAGGGCAAAAAAGAAAAAAACGAAATGGCGGATATCTGGGTTAATATGCATTTTCGGACATACCTTCCCATACACTTTTTTCTTCCTTTTAGTATGGGGATTCATTTCCCAAAGTCCTGAAACGTTTTTTATGGACACCCTGTATATTTTTCTATTTGCATTCATCAACCACCATATGTTATTTCAATTAATTATTTTTCCTGATGTTTAACTATTGTGATTATGAAAACATTGTTCAAAATACAAGAAAACTTTCACAACACTATGCTGGTAATAATTATTCAAATACTAATTATCAATTATTAAATCAAATATTTTAGATGTACGTTGCATGCTCACGTGTTGGTACTCCATATATTTATACACCTAATGAAAAAACAAAACAACATTGTTTATCCAATGGCATTAAAGTAAAATAAATATTCTACTTTTGTTTTTGGTATAAATCTTTTATTATTTATCGTAAACAACAAATTACTATTTGTTGCTAGTTAAATACAGTAAATGAACACGTGTAAAACTGTAATAAATTATTTAGGCCTACTTACTGGTAATGGATACTGTGTCCTGGTACTTAGTAGATTCTCCGCAAACAATTTAACTTTGGTCAATAAAGTGTCTTCTTTCAGCTTAGTCGCCTCATGAACTTCTCGTACAAGCTCTGAAAAAGAAAAATGTAGAAAAATAAATAACATTGATGATGGGACATTTAGATTTTTTATTGTTTAGTCCAACACTCTTCCAATTTGGTCATAAATTGTTTTTTATTTGACCAATCAATTTTCTCAACTAGGCTAATCAGATTTTAAACTAAAGTGATAATTTCAAGTGTTAAGGACCTATGGGAATAGACATTTTTTTATACTTAATAAAGTCATTCAGTGAAAAACTGTTTACAGAATGGCTTATGTAAGGCTAAACAGTATGGAAAGTGTACCAACCTGATATGAAGCCAGGTTCACAAGACGATTGCACTGTGGCAAGAGAAGCAATTTCGATTTTCAAATCTTGAAGTTCTGATTGTGTCTCTTTGAGTTCTTTAGAGAGCCTTTTATTTTCTAGAACTAATGTTTCTATCTGAGCTGTCAGTTCACTATCTCCATAACCTGATGCTGATGATTCTTGTTCTGAAAGAGAATCTACCTCTGATTCACTATTATTTGCCAAACCAGGATCACTAAACCTGCGCTGCTGATCAGACTCTACATCTTGCAGATTTCCAGGAGGTAGACTTGTATACTCATCTACCGTCTGAAAAGTGTCTTTACTTTGGTCTTGTTTACCATGAGGTTTTCTTACAAAATTATTTCTCGGAGAATGTTTTTGATCATTGTACGGGACTTTATGAGGAAATTGATGAGGATGGAATACCGGATATCCAAGAGGTACAGGAATGGAGTCTGGATATGTATAACCTAGTGACATAGGATATGCACATACAGCTGGGTCAGATACTGCAGTAAACAAACGTTGACCTTGAAGATAGCTTGAAAAAACCTCATTCATTCTTTCTCGGTCATGTTCTTCTTTATTGCAACAATCCCTTGTGTGTTTTTGGCGACGGGTATTGTCTACTTTATAACTAGAATTGCTTTTACTGTTACCATTCATCTCTTGTAGTTTTCTGGTATTAATCTTCTTTACTCTCCTTCTGAAACAAATTAAATTTATTAAATAAATCAAAGTTGGGTTTTCTCCCATAAGATTAACATGGGCGAATCGAAATATTTAATTGGAAACTTTGTCCCCACTAATTTGAGAGAACGGCTGGGTGTAGAAACTTGGTAGAGGTGTCCAAAGAAAGGTCTTGGTCTGTAGATGAGTTATCAAAAGAAAACCTTAGCAAAATCCCTTAGGACTCTGCCCCAGAAGCCTTTAAAGATCCCTCCACAGAGTTGTTTACATTTTGGCCATGTGAATTATACTTTTTAATGAAACAGCTGTTCATTTTTAAATTGTATTTCAAACAACACATATTTATTGGGAGTTACTGAATTCTAATTTGCAATGTTATTTTCTGATTTTAAAATTGATTTTCTTCTTTATCATGTCATGTTTTGCAATATAACGTTCCATTACGAAATCAGTGGAAAATCCTTTTATCACAGCAATTCTTAAATTATTTCTTATTGAACATATCTATTGTACGGGTTGGTGTCTGCCTTTTTCACAACTTTTGCCTACATCTTATCATATTATTCTACATCAAATATTTATGTAGAAATATCTGCTCTTATCGTGTCTAATAAAATCCAAACATAGAAACCTTGCCTAAAATGGTACCCATCTTGACAAATTATTTGCACCTGCCTATATTACGGACTTTGGCGCATTGGGTTGGTAACATTATTGAAAATAACACGACATTTTGGCTGTAAAATATGGTAAAGACAATACACTATTTAAGCAGATACTGTCATGACAGAAAGGTCATATTCCTTTTAAACTAGGTCACATAATCCTTTATAAGATACGCTGATTAACAATATGTAAACGTCAATATATACGTAACGGCCATTTTACAGCATTTTTGCTTTTTGGAAATGTCCCATTGCTATGTCATTTGCATTATTTGTTGCCAATGAAGCCGCCAATACCATATGAAATACATTAGGTAGAGATATTATATTGACAACTTTATGTTATTGATAAGGCTAAAACAACTAACTGACTGTCAAGGAATTCCAGCTTTAACAGTAACCCCACAATCAATTTCTCAAAACTATGCTAGAGGGTTCATTTATTGTCACAGAAGTACGATATGAACTGATGCGAAGTGATGAAGGAAAAATCAAACTTACACTGTAACGGACATACCTCCCTTTGAAGTTAGAGTATGTCTTCCCAAAATAATTTATTTTCAAATAAAGTGTTTAACAACAAAAGATCCACCAAAACGATTTTAATACTACAGTATTTAAAGGTTCTTCCAAAGGAAAAGATGCCATATAACATACTAATAATAACTCCGATGACGTACAGTATAGGAAATATTTTAATCATTGAATGATCAACCAAATTTGGCAACTAACGCAATTATAACATGAACTAGCTTCAATGGTAACTATTATATTCAACATGAAGGATTGGCGATGGGCTCACCTTTATCTTGTATACTAGCGGTAATTTTCCTAAACAATTTTGAGAACATGCACATAAACACAGAAAAGAATAAATACAGAGAAAAAATAATATTTTTCTACAGATATGTTGATGACATAATAGTCCTATTCAACGGAAACTCAAGACAGATAGCTCTATTTAATAACTATATTAATGGCATTCATCCTAAACTAAAATTTACAGCAGAATTGGAGCAAGCTAATGTGTTGAATTTCCTTGATATCACCCTGAAAAAAGAAAATAGTAAATTCTCATTCAACATTTACAGGAAACCTACAACTACAGATACCGGTACCACCATACATGCAACTTCCCATCACCCGTTTTCATACAAAATGGCAGCTTATAATAGTTTTGTGAACCGTTTATTAAATGTACCATTAAGTCCAGAAGATTTTAAAGAAGAGAAAAATACACTGAAGCATATAGCAATTTCAAATGGTTACAATCCTAATATAATTGACGATTTAATCGGGAAACATTTAAGAAAGAGGACTGAACCAAAACCAACTAATCAACGGTTTAAAAATTCAGATTATGTCCCAGTCGAATATGGTAGCAGATTCCCTCTAACTCTTAAAAATGAATTAAAAAAGCATGGGAAAATTGCAGCTTTTAGAACCAGCAATAAATTGGAAAACATAGTTAATCCAAAGGAAAAACAAAGCATTAATAACAAATCTGGAATTTATCAAGTAACATGCAATGATTGCAGCAAAATGTATATAGGTCAAACTGGGCGATCTTTTGAAAAAAGATTTAAGGAACATATCCCCCGAACCAGGGAGACACAAATATCCAGTTTTGCCGAGCATCTTGTTAATGAAAATCACAGTTATTCAAATGTCAGTACAAATCTAACAGCTTTACATATCTGTAGGAAAGGACGAACTATGACAACTTTGGAAAATTATGAAATATATAAAGCAACAAAAATTCGCCCTAATGATTTATTAAATGATAAAAGCTTGTTCCAGTCTAATATATTATTTGAAACATTAATAGGATTAGACAGAGACAGAAAGGAATGATAAAGGAAGCCGGGGGTACAAAGTACAACTACTAGGACAAGATAACCTCCAGTTGAGACTCGACATTGAAAATGCATGCATTGCTTCACTTTTGTCTCTCGTTTTTAATTAGTAGGCCTACTGTAAATAAATAGTTTTTCGTGTTTAAATGTTTTGTAACTGTGTTTTTAAAACTGTGACGTGACATCATGAGTCAAAAAACTTCAAGTTTGTATATGGATCTGATGATGGTATAACAAATACCGAAACGCGTAATCCTGTTGGATATTTAAGGACCACTAAAGGCAGTTTGCAGGTATTGTAACCTTCTTATTTTGATTTAACGCAATTAATATAATTATTGTTTTAACACTTATTACTCTTTAAACAATACTAAATGCTCAAAATATGTATATTTCACCCAAATCATCGCAGTTAGATGAATTAACGTAAGCCTTGAAAGTAACCGTCGATTTCGATGGGTTTCACCTAGTAGGATTATATTACTTGTGACCACAACATTTGCGGAGAGATTGGGGAAAGAAATTAACAGCTAATATAATAATTTGTTGGTAGCAGAAAAGACCATGGTATTAGGTTTAAGACTAGTACATCAATGATGGAAAATACATTGTCATGGGGTTTTCAGGTTTTAGTACAATTTTGAGAGCCATTGTGACACTGTTATAAATCGGAAGTATATTATTTATTTTATATTACAACTCAAGATATTTAGTTCATATTATAAAGTCAAGAAGTGGACATTTGGTTTTAAACATGTAGCCTACATAATAGAATAGCAAGAGGAAGCGCTGGGTAGAGACAATTAAGACGACCCTTGTACTTTGCCCTACGCTTCTAGGAAAGGCCTAGAAACGATCGGAGCGGCAGTTGAGTTCGAGACACAGGTACGCATAGACTCGCGTTTCTGCCTGTAGTTATAACCCGTGATTTGTAGAGTTTTAAATTAACTGCTAAAGTAATATTCTGGTTATGTTTTTAAGTAACATTTTATTAACTGGGGACGAGAAAGTACGTATTCACGCGAGTTACGGTGAAAAGTATAGTACTGTAAACTTAATTGAGTGATTAATCAAATTATTTCGTGGGCTAGGCCTGGATCGGGTTTTCGTGTTGAGACAAAGTGCTCCATTTCATGTTTCTTCGTGATGGTTTTATGTTGCAACATCGTGAGCACATATTTTATGGATGATTTTATGTAAGTTTTCTACAATCTGTTACCATGGCAAAACAACTCATCGGCAAGGTTAGTGAGTTTAATGAGGATTTAGAAAGTTTTGAAAACTATGTGGAGAGACTTGAACATTTCTTTACTATTAATACCATTGAGGATAAAACCAAGGTTTCATTCTTTGTGTCTGTTACGGGGCTATCCTTGTACTCAACCTTAAAGGATTTACTGCATCCTAAATTAGTAAAAGATGAGAAATATGAAGATATCAAATTTTTAAGGAAATATTTCACCCCTAAATGTAACATAACCTATGAAAGGTTTATCTTCAACAGACGTATTCAAAGGGAAGTGAAGTGTCGTCACCCTGACGTACCTTCGTTGACACTGTGCTATCCTTATACACTGTAACTAAGTCACTACGTCACCCTGACGTCTTACACTACGGGAATCGGGAAGTTAATAAGCACTACGGTTTAACACTGTAAAACTGCTAACGACCGAACGGGCCGGAGTTACTCAGGATGGAAGCTGGCTATAACTGAGGTGTAGAGGTGTCGGTTAACATGGACTCATGGGTTGGGGAAGTGGCGTGACTCGATCGTCCAATAGCATTCGTTTATACAAATATTATTAACTGGTAGTGGGAAATACAAACGGTTACAGTTCAACGTACATATTTAAATATTGCCAACATAGCCTTGTAAATTATTAAATAGTAAAAACTGTTATATTACTTATATAAATATATTACATTCCTCCCCTTTAAATCTGACCATAAAATGTGACCAATAATTATTTTTCAATTTCAGTATCAGTAAACAGATAGAATATAAACGCTGACAAACAAATACATAAATAAAACAACCTAACAACACACAAACACAACAACCGTTATATGACAACAAAACAAACTAATTATAAATCTATTCTCTCGACTGGTTTCCTAGCTCTCATGGGATAACGTCTCTGTGGTGTAGTGGAGGTACGGTGTTGTACAGGTGTACGGTGTACAGCTGGTGGTGAGTTGCGATCAGCTGTTTGTGGAACCATAGAGCGCCGCGGAGTGATGGGAGAGAGGGACGAGCGCGTACTATGTCCCGGAAGCTCGCGCGTCATAGGACTGACGTCACGCTCAGCTGGTGTACTCTGAACAGCTGGGCGCGCGATGACTGTAGTTGCCGTGGGCCTGTTGTCTGCATCTAATGTCAACACTGGGCCACTGTCGATAGCTATCAGCTGATCAATGTGTCTTTTCCACGTAACCCCCAAACTTAACTTAACTATATACATAGTTGGACTTATCTGTCTAACCACACATCCTTC